TCTGGTAGAAAACACAAGATCGGAGCCTTGTATGTAAGGACGCCTATCTCTCGCGAGGATCTAGAAGGCCCCGTATATCCTTGCGTCTATCACGGTTCCCTCTGGCCGGCTTTCTGAGTCACCCTTGCACGTGTTCGATTTCAGCCCCTTTGAACGCGTTCCTTATCCCGCTGGCCCGGGGAACATCGGAAGATCCTCAACCGAGCCGAACAGGCTCCTTTTCTCGGCAGACCGCTCCGCCCACAGGACCCTTCCAGCACGAGAAAAGGATCGAGGGGCCAGAAAGACCCCGTCAAATAGTTTCTTCTCGCGCTTATACATGCACATTGTGCGTTGAAGAAAAAAAAAAAACTGGCGGAAACTGCGTTCCTCTTGCGAAAAGTCATTGTAGCTTGATGGACCCATCCGAGCGATCTCGCCGAATGGAAGGAGACGTGAATGCGATGCTGAACGGTCGCCGGCTGCTTTCAAATAATCGCGAAAATTTTTGTACTTGGACGTAGGCGGCGAACTCGAACCGGTCGAAGTCATAAGGAAGAATCGAAACGGGGATCCGTCGGGCGTTCTGTGGGCCCGACACTCCAATAAAGCTCGCTATTGCGTAAATGCCGCTGCGAAGAATCGATTCAATTTAGAAGAACGCGGCGCGACACATAAAGAACGTATTGTCGCCGAGGAAATACTACTAAAGACTTGCAGTGCTCGTGTAATCATTGGGACAGCGAATGTGGGCCAATCAGGCTCAAAACACAATCGGTAATCACTCTCTTCGGTAATACTCGGCACCGAGGAAGTCCGTAAAAATTCTTATCATTTTTTTGTACTTCTTTTTTCTACTATCATTGTTTGCTCATGGTTCATCCTATATAAACGTCCAAATATCGAACGTTGTTCAAATACAGAGAGTACAAAACTTCAGCAAATTACGATTTGTTAAATTACCCGCCCCGTGCGTCCACTCCAGATCTCCCCTAAAGAATTCATTTCAAAAAATCTTACAAAAAAAATGTAGAAAAAAATCGTAACAGCCGGCCACCGGATCGTATTTCACCCTGAAAACGCGCGATCAACCCTCGACTGGTCACGGCGAGAGATCGAGCGGAGAAAAATGGAATGGTCGCAGCGGAGAAGAGAAAAAAAAAAAAACGCAGAGGCCCAAAAGGGTCGATCGCGAGTCTCCTATTCTTACCGCGGACAGAGACGCGCGGAGGAAATCGAATAGACAGGATACCGCGATGACACGGTCCGCGTTAATCCAACGATAGAAATCTCTAAGCCGCTACCGGTCATCCGAGCGAAGATGGCGTAGACTGCACCCGGCAACGGAACACGGGAAATGTATAATTTATAACGATAATCCTTTAAGAATGGATCCGTGCCCCGGAGGCAGATTCACGGTTCCACGACCTTGAATGCGCCACAGCGCGGTGGCACTAGCCACCCTCGCTTTCTACGTTTCTCATTCGCCCTTTTCAAAAATCCCCTTCGACCTCCTTTTTTTACCGCCAATGAATCTCGGATCGATGGGTCCGCCGGGAGTTCCGTTCCCCGTGTTTACATAGGTGCAAGACTCGCGATGAGAGACTGTTTATTTAGGAGCATAATAGGGAGACTCGTAAATGGAAACGGATCTCCGCTTCCACGACAAAATCTTTCTTCGTGAATCTTTCCCTCCAACGGTTTCAGGCTAACGACGTTACATTCTGCGCGGGCGAATCAGGGGGAGGCTGAATCCTTCAAGACGTTTGCCCAGACTCTCCATGCCGTGTACCGAGCAATATTTGATATTTGGATTCTCAGGTGAGTGCATGTTGACTTCCGACTTTATCGAATCTCAATGATTCTCGATGAGCAAAATAGAATTTAGACACGCATATAGAATCATCGATTCCGTCCTGTGAGTACCATTTGATATTAGGCCCGAGTTTGTATTTACTCACTGGATTTGGACTGATGACTCGATCGCATGGTTCATAAACATGACAGAGTATTGGTCACATCATAAGCTTGTAAAGTACCGAGATTTATACTAAAGACATTCTCGGTAGTATAAGTTAATGAATAAATATAAAATACGACTCCGGAAGTAATATTAATTCAAACAACAAAATGATTATATTGTCATTCAGCTACCAGTTTCAACTGACTGAGATAATCAATCAACCATAAGTCTATCCGTTCCAGGCGTCGCATTCAAAATTCGTCATTCACTCGCGAGTATACGTGTCGCCGCATCAAGCGAGCGAGTTAGGAGAGCCCATCCCTTGGAAAGTTCTTTTTTCACAAGATTCCTTCACCCACCCATGTTAGATTTGCTTTTGAATCGACGTGGCAGGTCCTAAGGATCCTCGCATGCGGCAGGATGCTTTTCTCAAGGCGAGAACATTTCAGGATATCCGTGAACGGTGATCTATGTCCAGTCTCAGGCGAGTTGCAACTCAGATCTTCCGTTATGCTCCGACCTAACACTGTACTGAATACTACGCAATAGCTGCAGGCTAGAATTTGCACCGGAGGAGAGCAGATCGATTAGAAATGGTATCTTTAGGCGCCTCGGGCTGACGTAATCCACCGGGAAATAGTGCTTTTTGAATTGGCCGAGGGAAACGTGACCGAATCGCTATAGAACTTCTTAAGACGATATATTATTATGTCTGCGGAAAGTGACGCATCTACCATTTTTCTTAGAAGTTTGAAAACGTGTCTGACTCATTCCTAAAATGTGTTCCTTGAATAGAAAAGGACAGAATACTGTCTAATAATTAAACTACGGATTTCATGCAATTATATGAAAATTCAATGTGCAGAAATAATGAATGTCTCATTTGATGATAAATTAGAATATCAAAAGCTGAATTTTTATCTTTAAGTGATCAAACAAATGTTTGTCTAAAACACATCCTTTGAACGGATATAATAAATGATTTTAGATAAAAGTTTTAATAATTCTTCAATTGAAATCAAATCTAACTAGTAAATCAATTCATCTATTATTCGCACATGTAATATTGGATTTCTGTATGCTGCTTCCCTTTCAAATTGTAATATACTGTGCGTGGTAGATGCGAAGGATGCACATGCACACTACATAAAAAACGAACAGGATCTTCGGTGCAGGTTCGAACCTGCACCGGGACCATTTTAAGTCGCTCTATTGAAACCTTCGACTTACGCAATTCAATGCGCAAAATAGCTTTCTAGAGCACACAATAGGAAAACGTGTCTGAACTTGCACCGAGTTTCTAAGACGAATTCTTCAGAAGTACAACAATAAACTTTTCTAGAAGTAACACAAGTAGTCTCGAAATAAATCAGCAATGTCATTATAAATGCCAATTTTTTTAAATTGCATTCTGTTCCGGTCATATAATAATTAATTACCAGTGAACGTTGATAGCGGAATTTCGTAAACCCTTTGGATGCGTCAGATCCGTCCAAAGACGCAACACCTGGTGCTTAAAAGGTTAACGCAAATTGGTACCGACAAGTGGGTTAGTGGGTGAATCCCGAAATGCTATCTCGGAACTTAAACGTTCATTTTTATGTCCGCGAGCAAGTTCGAACACGTCGCCGGTGGTAACACGTGCAGTTGAAAAGTGAATTGTACTGCTTGGCTGCGGGTTCGAACGCACAAACGAAAGCAGGTCAATCCGAGACGGATCCTTTTTTCCTTTATACAATCTTCCGCGTTCAGGTGCCCTCGGAGTGCACCAGAAACGTGTCTGAACTTGTTCGAGGCTCGCGTTGCATCACTTTTGTTTGCCAACACAAATGAATCACAAAAAAATATTACATTGTAAAAATACTTTAAAAAATGCATTTAAAAAAATCATTTAAAATTCACAGTGTGTGATATTTCGATAAGAAGTACCGGATTAATATTCCTAATTTCAAAAGACGGAATGTAACATTGCGTACATATGTACACCGTTAACGAGATAAATCTGTCGGAAACGATCTGGTAACCCAAATTTCTAACCCTTCTACCTGGCCGAAGCCTGAAAGGGTTAACCGGAGCCGGGTAACAATAACGGAGGAGGTTTCCATCGGAGAAAGGATTCACCTGCGAAAGGGTTACGGGTCATACAAAAGATTCCCGGTTGGTTTACAGTCGCGCGACAAGTGCGACGCGCAAAAAGATATTCCAATCACGTCCGATAAGCGTCCGATTGCGATACGCGTTTGTCACACCTGGTCTTTTCCAGAAAACGGGGAAAGGAAGGCTGCACATGTCGAGCGCGACAGCTGCGAAAAACGTATTTTCATCGCGCGAACCAATGGCCACGTTTTAGCGTCGTTACGCGTAGAGAAAAGGAGAAACCGGAGGAGATCGAGCAACCCTTGAAGCAGAACTACGAAATCTCTTTCACCCGCTCGATCCGTTTCTACCCCGATCGAAACGTGTCCGCGTCCCCCGTCACGCGATTGCGTCCAATAAAGAGGTATCCACACGTACGAACGGTGGAGATGCACGTGTGTCCTTTGTGCAGGTTTGACCCTTTTTACCTGGATTACCTACGAGCGGAGAACCGGTACGCGGGGGAGGAAGAAACCCTTCGAAAGGGAAACGCGAACAAACAACCGTGCGCGCCCCGTACGGTGTGGCCCCATTCAGCCGCGTAAGATATGCATCTACGGGCCTGAATAGCGCGGGAAATAAGGAAATTCCATTGGAAATTTTTGTGATTTTGAATAATATTGCATCCCCCCTTTTCTGTGGCACTGGTTCTCCCTTTCAAAGGGATCGAAAGGGTCCGTCTTACGGTCCGGTGGTTGTTATTGTGCCTTTGAAATCTCTATGGACCGGTCCGCGGAACAAAGGATTCTGATGTCCGACGGCCGGGTTAAATCTCGCATAGGATTTAGCCACGAAAGCGCGAAGGGAAAATCGTCCACGTTAGGCGGGGTGGAACCCGTTTGATCTTTATCGATCCCTCCAAATTGATTCCAGTAGAAAAACGGTTTTACGAATTTTTTGAAAGAGAATGCGTGTCACTTACCCCTTCGTGCACGTGCTTGCTGGTCTCGCGGCTGGTCACTCACCTGTAACACAAGTACAGAGAAATTTGTTAGAAAATACGATTCAGTTATTCAACTGCGTACATCAATAAGTATATTTCACGTATGTAGAAATGTGTAGAATAATTCAAGTAACTAGAAAATTGAAGGTGAATGATATAAATAAAAAAAAAGTAGGAAGCGTGCATTAAACATTTTCCGGGGTTGGAAGGATCAGTTGCAGAGGAAATGTCAGGCGTTGGAGTTTCCTTGTAATCGTCTACTTATTTCTCGAGAGAAGTAATCCGGCCCGATTGCATACGTACCGCCCTAATGACCGAAATTCTACCGGCACCCTTAAAAAATATTTAATAAGCAGGAAAAAAGCGTAATAGGGTCGAGCTACTATAAATTTACCCCGTTACAGGGGGAAAGGAGAGATAAAATTCCAATTACGAAGATCTCTATCTCGACGAGGCCCGCGGCCCACTACCTGCCGAAAACGATTACCAGCGTTGTAGAAGCGAGAAACAAAAAACGAATACGGTAGTCCGTATTACGGGTTATTTTTCGCCCCGGGCCAAATCAGGGGGGACCATTTTTTGTCCACCCTCTTATTCGTTAGGTTCCTTCTAACCAGTTTTTTTCCTCGGCCTTCCTAATACAGGCTTGCTATGAATTTTGTAATGAATATGGTGTAGTACTTTAACAACGCAGATTTTTACCTCAGCCTGTTCTGATTCAAATACGCCATTATTAAAAATATTTTTATGACACGTAATACTGTGCTGAAACATACTAAGGGAAAGATGTGTACTTAGTTTCATTAGTACCAACTAATTATAACAATCACGATCGAATCTTTGTCTGTTCACCCTTGTAAAAAAAAAAGGAATACATAAATTCTCGGTTTCAGTCATGCTGCAGAAGTACGAAGTCATCGAAATTTAATGAACTTATTAACATTCCACCTGACGGGTTTGAGATCGTTACCTAGTCGATCATCAAAACGATTCGACTAATAAGACACTCTTCCTCGACGGGGGCAACGTACTTACAAGTATCTTACGTCGTATTCTTATTTCAGAATTCGTCTGCTCAAACAAGAATATTAAATGTAAGTGTACATTGAAACCGACGAACGTAAAATTTATTGCCCAGGTATCTGAATGTTCGTATATCAAAAGCATTTAATAAAGACGGACGTAAAGGTAACTGTTAAACTGGTTGAATCTTTATAGTCTTATTTCATTAGCATACAAGATGATCGTATTTTTATACAATAGAGATTTGATCAGGGAGGGTTTAAAGGGTAGAGGCGGCCTTGGCCAATTTTTTCTGACCTCCTCTTTCATCAAAACCTTTATTCTTCTCAGAATGCTGCCATTCTCACAACACGTAATATTTCCATTTCGCATTTAAACTGGCAGTTTAATATTAATAATAATTAAATCCGTTAACTGATGATTCTTACGACACCGACACGTCCCGTCAGCGACTCTTATTACGTACGCAAATAAAAGACGTTTCAGTTTATGTCAATTTAATATCAACGAACGGTAAAAGACGCGGACGTAAAACTTGAGAATCGAAACGGACATTATCTCGGACAATCATTAAGGAACGTCCGCGTCCGACGAAATTCAGCTTGACAATTTCGATGAAGGAACGATTTAAAAGTCGAGGGAGAAAAACGAGAAAAGGCTCGTCGAACAGGACGTATATGCCATTATTTTAATCTGAAACCGCGGGTTCGCCAGCCCTCGTGTCCGTTCCTTATACCGTAAAACAAACACGTAAACAGGCAGCGTCATGTAAGCAGGTAACCAAATCCGTGGAGGGAAACCTGGTATCTCGATCATGAAATCAGTACGATTACACGGTCGAGCGGGAGAGGGACGGACCCGGAGCGTAAGGGCGGAACGAGACGGGACGAGGCGAGGGAGAAAGAGGGATCCCGTGAAGCGAAGGGAGAAGGACGGGCATCTGGGTGCACCTGCCGGTGACGTCAGAAGGGACTTCTTGTTCGAAGCTGCACAGCCCCGGGGGTCACTACTACTACCACCACTACTGTTCCATGCTGCGACATATCACGAGCCGCTTCTCTCTCTCTCCTTTCTTTTCTCCCATTACACGGAGCACAGGCTACACGAACGACCGCGAGGCGAACCACTCATCTCCCCTTTGCTCGACCATTATTTATATGCTAATGAAAAACCCGTGAAAAGGCGCGATATCGACCCCACCCCGTTGGCCCCATGGCCTGGACGCCGTTCGAACCCCGATTCGACCGGTTGCGTTATATGATGTAACTTACTGCGCTGACTACCTGTGATAAGGAACCGTGCTGGCAGAACGCGGATGCGTGTAAACGACCAGATGGAAACTGCTGTTTCGGGCCATCTTTATCGTCGCTTCTTTTCGAGAAGAAACATCCCACACGTTCATTCTTCTCCTGTTTTACTGCGTTTATATTCGATCGAAAAGTTCGGATTCTTAGTAACAAGCAATTCGACTAATACAGGAATCATTTCACTTGAAATGTTTACGACGGTTTTCTTAGAATTTTTATTACTCGTTTGTTTATCCTCTTACAGTTTTCACGCACTCGATAGGATTTTACGTTCGGGCGCTGACAAGCTCGTTGCAAAAATTGTATCCGCTAATAAAGCAGGACCCGGCATCACCCGAAGCGACAGAGCAATCAGAGAAACGGAACGAGAACGAAACGCGAGCTAATCTCTACCGTTTCGCCCTAAGCTACCGACGAGCTCGACGTCTGGACATAACCGGAATCATTTCAGGCTTATTATTTAAAGTGTCCGCGAAAACGGCCCTGGACAGATACAATCGAAATTCCAGGGACGGCGTTTTAATCAAGATCGTGTCACTTCGCTCACCGAATGCAGCTCAGCGACCGTCAGGATCGTAAGCCACGCTTTATCTGATGAGCATTCATCCCGTCATAGACATTTGCATAATCTAATATCTCCGACTGGACCACAGAATGGAACTATAAATTCTTCTCAAGCTGTCGCTTCCTTTTTAGAAAAAGAATCATTCTTAACACCTCGTTTCAAGGAGCGAAACTCCACCAACCGAATAAAATTTGATCAGAAAATATCCAGCGTTATTCTTTCTTGTCTACAGAATTTATAATAAATAAACAAGTATTGCAAAGATTATATACATAAATGTTTGTCATTCATTCTGGAATCTGTCTATCGGGTTTCATTAAGACACTGACTAATTTAAAATTCAATTTGCCCAAAACCAGTTATCGTTCTTATATCAGGTTGTATCCTACGGACAAGTGTACGAGCAATTAAGCCGGTGATTCTAAATCAGACTAGAGCGGGGCGGCCTAGAATTGATTAGGATTCGATGACCATGTTAGGAACCGGTTATAGGGCCCCGTACGGTGGAAAACAAGAAAGATCCGATTTTTTCAAAGACCTCGAAACACGACGTGGACAGACGGACGCAGGTTGACGTGCGGTATTTTCAACTGTTTCTAACAAAACATTCGATCTCATCTCGCGTATAATCGGACCGGTTCTCGCAAGCTCGTGCAGGGAACAAGAAACATGGGAAATTAACCGTTTCCTCAATTTTCTAGGAAAAACTTGGAAAGCAAACCTTTATCCATGGAGGACCGAACTCGAATCGCAATATATCAATAAATAAGTTAATTATAGCAAAAATTCTGATTAAATATAAAACAAAGAATGTTACAAAATTAATAAAATAAAAAACAAATCAAATAAAAAATATATATGCAATGCAGCTACTGCTGTCGAATAATAGTAACTGTTTTCTAATAGAATTCAACGAATTTACCGAGCCGTCTGACAAAGAAAATAAAAAGGCAAACTGACTGCGAGAAGCGTAGCAGAGAGAAGCAAAAGAATACAGTGTCTTCATGAAAGTAAAATCGTTTCCTGCTGCAGGTATGTGCATCTCCCTGCAGATCTGACGAGAGCACGTTCACTTCACCTGCCTTGGTCTGTAGCTACAGAGTGCAAAGTGAAAACAAATACCTTGGATGTACCTGTCCTCCTGGAGGGCGGCAGACGGTACCCCACGAAGCGGTGCATCGTGGTGGCCCTACGGGATTTGCCACGACCTTCGAGAACCCTCGTTCCGAAAACGACAGGTTCCATCGGAGGGCAGCTACTCTGTCCCTGAGAGATTACGAAAATTCCGAAAACAAATATTCACTTTCCGACAGTATACGCATGACGAAACATTTTCGATTAAGACCGAACTGACAAGAAACGTTCCTCAGATACAAAATGTTGGCTGTTTGAAATAATATATTATAATTTCTTAGAGACCTGTATCAAACGAAAAATCCACCTGACTCCTAAGAGAACAGGTTTTCCAAAAAAAGTCTTCGAAAAACTTGTTAATTCGACGGATCAGAAGCGATGAAACGAGCAAAAAAGTAGGAGAGCAAAGAAATGTAGCAAAAAGGGGATATTTTTTTTATTTGAATTTCGTAAGACAAGCTTGTGTGCGAGGGTGTACCTGCGGGGATGCGGCTCCCCTCGGTGGAGAAAAAACGTGGGCCTGAGGCGTAGTTAATGACTCTGAGGGGTGCCGTGGCTATCTCGGAGCGTCTAGACACCCGACCCTAAATCTCTCGTGCGCACACCGGGGTAATGGTGGAAGCCGGCGAACGTTATTGCCGCGCGTTAATTACTATAACTTACAGCCGCCTGCGCCAACTTGTTGATTTAAACGTCGCCGCGTACGGGCCTGCATGCGCGTCGCGGTCCTCGGGTATCGAATGTTTCATCTAATTGGATGAATTAATCCTACCGAGGATGGGTATAAATATTCAACTTAAAAACGGAATGCTAACATCGCAAGCCGCGGGGTACGGGTCATGATTCTCTGTTTGCCTTCGTACCATTCGGTCGAGGAACGTAGAATAAATATTACTTCAGGGCTAATGTCGAAAATATCGGAAAACAAATTATGACTTGAAAAAAGTCAGTAAAGAAATGGGAGTTAAATTAAAAATTTCCTTACTGGATTTAATGGTTGAAAACGAACGTTCGTAAGTGTCACACTTTTCGTGCAATTGATTGCATTCTAAAGTCGAACGAATGGACTCTCGTTTCATATGCAAATTGTGCAAATCAATAACGGTTCATGTTTGGGGATTTTCTTTTAAAATATGTTAATACGCGACGTGTCAATGGGCGAGGAATCAAATTTGCCCATTACGAAGTACAACATACTTTCTCTGATATGACAGTTTAACGAGAATCGACGCGGCGGAGAAAAGCCGAGCGTCGTCGAAAGCGATGAAGTAATAAGATAATAACTTGACACAAGCACGCACGTATAAGCAATGTGCGCATCGATTTCCTCTTTCGAGAGTGATATGTAGAACAGCAATGAAAGTTCAGGCGGAGGTCCACACGTTTCATCTTGGCACGAGTTTCAAGGAGAGAAACAAACCGTTTATATGCGACATTAATATTCGTCGGCCCGCGTATGGTAAACATCACGTAATGTCGTTAATAAAATAGGAACTAACCACATTTATAAAGTGATATTGAAAATTCAGCAAGCATTAAACTTAATATATTTTCCCTTTCGGGTCTCTCTAATGGGGTAAAAAAAAATAGCAATTTATATGTGCTCCGGATCAATTAAAATACCGATGGGCAGGTTCGCTTAAAATTCGGCGCATCGATAAACAATCTTCTGGATCGTTTTCATTAATTCGATCCCTTTCTAGAACGAGCCAAAGGGAGCCGGCGTCCACGTCGAATTCGTATCGAGCTCACGTACTCGCATCAGAAGTTAGGATACCTGTCGCAACAGGTTCGAGCCTGTCCTCCCTCGAAAACGGGCGAATATCCACCCTTTTGAACGCACGTGGTTAAAAGGGACCGAGGAGCGAACCCCGGACGCGGAAACTGGAGAGGAGCCGAAGGAAAAGGAAGGATCCACCGGGAGAGAAAGGTCCGTAGTCTATGCGAGAGCAACGGGGGTGATCGCGGGGGTGGGTGAAGTGGATGTGTGCAGGTCGGGGTGGGTTAGGTTGGATTAGTGTCGGAGGGGGTGCCAGAGGAGGGAGAACAGCGGCAGATGGTCGGCGTGGACCCTGACGTGGGAAGCTCCGAATTCTCCAAGTTCCCACAGCCAGAGTGCACCTGCCTTCCCCACTCTTGTCACCCCGTCCTGCTCGCCGGGCCTATATAAGACCCGGGGTTGCTCGTCTAAGGCACCATTCGCTCACTAGCGTTCCGTTCCAAACCAACTCAGAAAAGCACACACGATTCCTTACTTCCTAGTATCCTCTGATACTTTCGAAGCGAAGCCCAGTAAAGCTTCATCGAGGTTTCCAAGTTCCGAGTTCGCCGCACGCAACGAGTTTACCGGTGTATACCTCGCAGTTCATTCGAGTCTTCGAGTGCACAGCCGCGACTACGCTTTAAAACCGGTTCAGTGCCACCAGTCGAGTATCCACACACACGTACATCGAGTAAAGATGGCCGCCACCACGATGAACCACGTGTTCGACTACGAGAACGAGCTGAACGACAATCTCTACAACCTGAAGATGTCGGGGAAGAGCAAGGCGAACAGCAAGCGATTGAGAAGCGTGCTGAAGCCGATTCTCCGATTGCTGAAGAAGAAGACCAGCAAGAAATACGGCAAGGGTCAGAAAGCGGTGCCGCAGGCGGAGGTCTTCACCGAGGAGGTCGACAACCAGAACAACGCCAACGAGGCATTGGAGAGGAGGCTCCTGGCCGAGCTTCAGGACGCCGAGGAAGGAGCTGCCATCACCGTCTGCCTCGATGGACAGATGACAGTCGTTCCGGTTGTACCTGGTCAGTGCTACGTGCCCGTCCACTTCGCGCACACCCACGCCGGTGACTTCTACTGGACCACCCTGAGCATGGCCGACAGTGACCTGTGCTACAAGGAACGCGCCTTCTCGCAGTATCAAACGCCCGAGATGCAAGTCGCGTAAGACGTAGAACGAGATCATCGATGGACCACAACTACCTCATGCTTCGAGACGTTTGATCTCAAGGAGTCTTCGTCGTGCCTCGAAGTGACGCGAAGATACGACGAGGAAACGAAACATTAAAAAGCGAACGAATTGGTCCCGACGACACGGTTCTGACACCCTATCAGAGAGACTGCTTATAGATAAGGTTTTATCGATACTGTGATAACTAGATTGTAATTGTCTAACTGATCGTTGCTCATTTAGAACGAGATCGTAAAGTGTTGAGTCCTGACTCGAGAATCAGTTAGAGCGAAAAATACTCTATTTTTTTTTTGTACTTTTTTTTTAATTGTAAGGAAATAATCGCAATTGTGATATTTGTACCTACCTACTAGGTTAACATTTTACTAATGTACACATTGTGATATCGGCTTTAATATCGTCATACAGGCGAAACTTCCTATTGTCTTCCATATAAAGAATATGAATAAATACTACTTGTAAAATCTAAATCAATTTACTTCACGACACCCTTCCACTTTAGTTTTAAGTTCCTACTGATAAGTTAATATAGTATAAATTCGTTTGAGTTGCACTTAAAAATATTTCTAAATTAGTTAGAATTCCCATGAAGAGATAATACATAAAGTAGCCTCTTTGGGAAATTTCGAAAGTTTCAAAAATTCACCTGCGATCTTGGGAATCATTAGAACCCTTCGTAAACTGCCGGACAAAGGTTTTCAAGCTTGAAAAGGGTCTATTCATACCTGAAACTGGATTGAGAAAGCCCTCAGGATCTTTTCAGCCCTTCGTTCTATTCAGAAGTGACTCAAAAAATCTCTTAAGAATTTCGGATTTACCAGGGGAAAAGTATTTGACCGAAACTTCCATAGAACTCCACAGAGGATTCGTACGAAACTTCTCCTGTCAAAAGTGTTGGAAACTTGACGGTTGTCACGAATTTCTCTAAAAATTCTGGTTATAATTTTTCAAACTTCGTCCCTTGGGAAACTAGCTTTGATTATACGAAAGGATTTGTACATTCTTGGTCGTTTTTAAAAACAATTAATGGATCTTATTATCCTACACGCTTTCATCCAATTATACTTTTTTATACAGTTAATCGATGTAAGCACCTGTGAACCTTCATAAAGTGAAACAGGTTTCTTACACAACGTCGAGAAAACTGATTGACTTCTTTTATTTCCACGGTACTTTCTGCAAGCTTTTTTATACGAGTTAATTTCAATTAGAATAGATTTTGCACACACTATTAAGGGAATTCAGATAAAATCAGATTCAGGTAGACATTCAGATAACAGATAATCGAATTAACAATTGGATTCTGATAAATTTTTTTGTACTGCTAGGTAGAGGTTTTAAAAATCGTTTAAGCGAAACGTTTATTGAAAAGGCGAACACGTGCTGCCCATATGTGACAGGCACATGTCCTCAAGGGGGTAGATGGGGTGTGTGAATTCGCATGATTTTTCGTGGCCGACTGGGGGTAACTGACCCTCCAACTCGAAAAAATAACAAAAGATCGCGGTACACCCGACGCTTGTGCATCAGATAGTAACTATACATATAATAAGGGGGGTGCATAATTCGGGGGTTTGTTCACCGATAGGGTTAAATCAATTGTCTGTTTACTTAACGGTCAGGAAACCACGAGTGACCAAATGGTTTGAGTTGGATGCGGTTCTTGAAAAATACATCCTTTACATTATTCTCGTGATACTGTTAACTATGATTTTATCCAATTGCTATACGTCAATATGTTATTTGTAAAATAATAAAGATATTGCTTTTGGAGATGTGAAATAACATTTTTATTATTTAAAATGATACAAAAATTGAATTATAAAAAGTATAAAAATCAACGAAAATAAGGCAACTGGAAAGCAGGTAGAATCCGGTCGAGTAGGCAACCCTTCGTACAACCCTGCATCAAAACCAACCTACGGTTCCAGGCTCGCAAAGGGCCACGTCGAACTGTACTCAATAGCTATATTCACTATCGTAAAAGACAGTTCATTACCTCTTCATTAATTTTATGTACATTATTAACGCGCTACAATTTCATATACAAATTAACACGTCGATACTAAAACCTCACGTCGCCTTGTACATCGATTTCCTTATATGGTGTCTCTAAAAATTTTCCACCGCTTAAGTAAGTAATGAATCAACTTGCATACAAGATAAACAGGACTACGTGAACGTGAAACGTGTCAATTATGCGGGTTTCTTTTTTCTCGTCGATCGTATTTAATCGACGTCTTGGCGTTTCCATCGCTGAAATTAATTCATTACGAGCCTCGACGTATATACGAGGCGTTCCTTCGCGTTCCTTTTTTCGTCTTCAATAACGAAAGCAGCGAATCGATCAAAAAGTACGTAACGGAACCTTTCTTCTGGGCAAATTACGGTGATTATGGAATTCGGAGCGCGAAATTCGTTGTTAGGCACGGACTCCAGGTCCTCTGGATATTTTTTCAGAGAACGGATAAATCGGTCGCGCATGAAATTCTGAATTGCTGCAAATTGATTCTTTCGCCACTCCAAGCGTCGCGAGACACCTGTCAGAATTTACTATGCGAATTTTTATTCACCCATGAAGTGTCTAAGCAATTTGAACATTATCTGCAATTATGACTTTTAACAAACTTAATCATGTTTTAAATTATACCGCAGCAATTCTGCATTCTGTCAACACTGGCTAATAAATTGTATGTAACGTGATTTTAATTATTAATGACTAGGATATTAGGCAAGAGTATAAAACGTTGACGGTAAGATACGATGAATGGACCCATAATTTTCAAATGACACGTTTCACAACACGGGAAACGATTTCAACCGGCTACCGTTTGATCAACGAATCATTTGCACATGTATTGACGCTTTCACCGGTACATACCGCGACGATCGACAGTCACTTCGCACGTAATTCCCACCGAAGCCTGTTGTTCGCAAATGATATTGTTACCCGTGACCGGTGCCGGAGGGGAAGCGAAGTACGAATTACAAAAATTGTACTTTCTTTCGAACGCAGATGGTATCCGTGTTGCATCTCGTCGTATAGAAAATGTGGATAAATTGTCGGTCCACTCACAGACGTAATTCGGAGCAAACGTTCGCGGATGCATACTCTTCTTAAGAAATTTTAATGCAGAAGGAGGAAATTAAATATCTATTAATATCAATTAATTAAATATCAATATGTCACCAGATGATTAATGTACCACATTAAGTAATTTCCTTGTCTTATACAAATCCATCTAACGTTTCGTAATAAACAATGTAAAATATAAAACAACTGAATATTCTTGTACGTTGAAAAGCCTCTCCAAAGAAATTGATGTATCCTAGGCACGCAACCAAATTATATGTTAACTCGGCCAGCCTCGTAATGCTAATAATAGCGATCATAAAATGAGCGTTTCAGGTTTCTAAGCGAAGAATGGAGACGGATTATCGCGAGGCGATGGGAAGAAGCGGATTACACGTACTTTCTCGGGCATCGTTTCCCGAGGCGTTTTACGACTCGAGGAAAAGCACGTGTCGCGGAATCGGCGTGGTTTCCACGGAGGGGAACGCGTTCACGGTAATCGGCTTCTCCCGCGTCCGCTTTCGCGCGAGTCGAGGCCGCGACGGCGGCACGGCGCGGCGCGCTCGCTCGTGCCAGAACCCGCTCTACTTTGCCCGCCGCTCCATTCCCACGGCCCCGAGAGAGCGCCGTATAAATACCAGCGTACACGTGCTCAACCGATGTAAGCGCCCGTGTACGCACGCGTGTCACGTGTGCCTTCGTGTCAGGTACTCGCGCGTGTATGCATGCGTCCGTGCATGTGTCCGTTTTATACACACGTGCGCACACTTGCTATTAAGCGCGCGTACACTGCCGGTTGCGCACGGTAACTGGTTTCCCCGCGATGCTGACATTCATCTATCTATCGAGACAATTGCTATTGCAATCGCTGAAAGCAGCCCGTGCACGACACTGTTTATTTCATGAAACGAAACTCGAACCTGTTGATCGGATATATTATTGATCAGGAGATGAACTACCTTGATTACTTGGTATTACGATTTTAAGCTTTCATGATTGTCCCATTTCATACATAGTTTGATTTCTTCAATTCGTTAATGCAATAAGAACAAGGCTGTTGTATATCAATCTTTGAGTGATAAAAAGATTAAGATAAATGTACACGCTGATAGAACAGCAGTTTTTCGAAATGCACGTTTTACCTTCACCTTTCATTATCCACTACTACTGTTAAAATATGAGTACAAGCTCTAGTGATCACGTTTCTAGGTGACTCATACCAACACGTCAGAGACGACGTACACGTCCATCTGGTTGGTTGAGAAATCGGCAAGAAAATTGCTACCGGGGTATCCGGTAGCGGCGAAGTGGCAAAGGCTGTAGAAAGAAGCCGGTACGATTAGAGAACGAGCCTCTAGGCACGTGACGGGGAGTACCGATTAGTCCCGAGCAATATGGAATTAAAAGCGATACCAGCAGCCACGAGCTGCCAGCCTTTTTACGCCCGTTCCAGCTTAGATTTATACGCCGCGCGCCAAGTTTCTTGTCGCGCGGCCAAGCCCGATGGAATTCGCGTCGGCTTCGGCTAGACACGCAGCAGTGGACTGTTTTTCGTACGAACCCGCTAGTTTCGCGCGATTAACTGCGATACGCGATCGATTTGCTAGACACGGGCTCGTAATTGGTAGCTCGCGGACCGTGATCGTGTTCCACGGTGTTGATTAACACGCCCTTTAGCGGTCGAGGAAATTCGTGCTCTTGTTAACATTCTTCTACTCGACTTATAGCACAGCGATTGCAAGCGATCGTAACAAGATCAATCTTTTACGACCGACATCTGCGCCATTCTGTCCTCAGTTTTCATTACTCTGTATAATTGTACTCTGCCTTTTTATCGTCAACTCGACCAGCTCATGAAATACGTATGCACGTTTTATATCAATTACCTTCGTGTTCGAATGCGTCTCTCTTTTAAATTGAACGATATCACGCCCGACATATAGTTTCATTACTTTTCAATAGCGTTATAAATTAAAACCGGCCGAAAATTGATTGACACAATTTGCATTCTTTCAATGCCCGCTATAGAATTAAATTACGTCGGTGCGTGTTGTAATTTGTACTTTTCGATGTTACAGGATTAAATTGCGCGCTTTCGTTTCACATATAAGTCAAGCTTCGATACTCGGTAGAGAACGAACCGGGGCAAGAATCGATTGTGGTACGAGAAATGATTCATCTGACGGGCAACCGTGCACGTGAATTTATTTCTCGCTCGTGCACGCGTAAGTAAATTATTCACGGTGTTCCGTGGAGTTTTTAACAGCCGAGAAAAACTTGGCAGACACGACGGGAGGCTCTGAAAGGGACGGCTATTATATTTC